TTCTAAAATCCCGTTGAGAAATGCCGTTGATATGTCCATCTGGATAATGAACTTCCCACTAACGGCTGCATCTGCCAACAAGACACGAAGGGTAGGGGGTTTGGCAGTGGGAGCAAAGATCTCATTGAAGTCCCGCTTCTCCTTCTGCATAAACCCCTTAGCCACCAGCCTACTCTTGTTGATGGTGACCTGTCCCTTGTCATCGGTCTTGATCCTTAGCACCCACTTGCATTGTACCGCTTTCTTTCCCTCAGGCAGCACCACTAGTTCCCAAGTCCCATTCTCCATCAGGCTCTGGTACTCAGCATCCCTGGAAGCTAGCCATTTGTCCCTATCTGGTCCAGCTAATGCCTCCTCCATGCTAGCTGGTTCCTCTGGTGCAGGGGCAAGAAAACAGTACGCAGGTTGATCCTCCTCATCCGGGTCATAGCCATGCGGTAGAATCAGCAATGCCTCCTCGGTCCCAAGCTGCTGCTCCGCTACATCAGCTCCTGCAGTCAGCTTTTTAGTAGCCATACGGGTACGTCCTGGCCTGGAGACGGGTGTCTCCCATCCCTTCATAATAACACCCTTCGGCTTCTTAGTTTTCCCCTGCTGCTGCTCTCCTCCCTCGGATCCAGCAGCTCCACTAGTGCTACCGCTAATCTCCACACCATCACCTCCACCAGCAGGTGCCTCCTGCACCTTCTCTTTATCACCACCCTCTGCAGCTGCCTCCTCTCCCTCCTCCCACACACTAGGAGTCAGGTCCAGCTGCATGGTAATCTGCTCCATCTGCTGGGACACCCTGGCCTCCGGCTGTTTCTCCCAGCTCCCATACATCATGCCCTCAACAAACTTAACATCCCTGCTGTCAAACAACACACCCTTGGAAGGCTCCCACAGCAGCCATCCCTTGCTCTCAGCAGCCAGCCCCAAATGCACACACCAGATTGCACTCGCCCCCAACTTACTGCGGTAGGTCTTGGGAACGTGGGCGACTTCCATGCAACCGAACACCCTCAGCATGTCCACCGGCGGCTTCCTCCCAAGCCACCTCTCCAACGGCACCCACGAGTCATCCCCAACCTTTGTGAGTACCCTGTTCCTAGCGACGGTAGCGTGCCGAACAGCATGGGGCCACATCAAGTTGCCCAACCCAGATTCTATGAGCAGCGCCCTAGCTGTCTCCAGAATTGTCCGGTTCGCCCGTTCTGCTACACCGTTGGACTGTGGGGTGTAAGCCGTGGTCAGCTCCCTCTGGATGCCCTGCTTCTTGAGCCAGGCCGTCATCTCAGCTCCAAGGAACTCACCACCCCGATCTGTCCTAATCCGCTTCACCACACACTCCGCTTGCTTCTCCACGAACGGCAGCCAATCGTCCCGAATCGTGGAGGCGGCGTGATCTTTCTGCTTCAGCGGATACGCCCACATTAGCCTGCTCCAGTCATCCACTATGGTTAGGAAGTACCGCTCCCCCTTGTGCCCTTGCACCGGCAGCGGCCCCACCAAGTCCATGTGGACCAGCTCCAACGGCTTTTTGCTCCTGCCAGCCACACTATGGAAGGGGAAACGGGTGAACTTTGAAAGGAGGCAAATTTCACAGTTATCATCGGGTGGTTGTCCGTTCAGCTTTAAGCCCTTAACGGCTCCATCCTTCTCCAGCTGCTTCAGCAAAGGCATTGCCACATGCCCCAAACGTCGGTGTGCAGTTGCCCAATCTGTCTCCCCAGATCTGGCCGACACTTTCACACCAACCCCTCCAACGGCGTTGCACTCCCCCTGGGATGCAGACCCCTCTCCAGCCTGCCCCCCACCATGCCACGCCAGCGCCGGCAGCTGCCACATAGATCTGTACACGTCCTTGCTCTCGTGCAGATCCCAAAGCACCCGATTGCCCAGCTTCCCCTTATAAGTGCGAGCCCCATCCGTGTTGGTGTTCACCCCAGCCTTGCCAAGCTTACGGAGGGAGATGAGGTTGGCCTTCAGGTCGGGGACGAGGAGAACGTCGTGCAGCACCACCGGCTTGCCATCCGCTCCCTTAAATGCAGCTCGTCCCGCACCAGCCACCTTCAACATGTGTCCAGAGGCAGAGCACACCTCATTAATCGGTGCAGCGCGTACGTCGTCCAGCAGGTCCCTGCGCGGCGTCATTGTCCAAGCAGCGCCTGTGTCCAACACCCAATAGTCCAGGGGGTGCAGCTCTGCTCCAGCCTTAGCAGATGCGTCTCCTTGCTCCCCCTTGTCTCCCATATGGAAGAATTGGCCCGCGGTGCGCTCCTTCTTCTTCTCCGCACCGCCGTTGCCCTTCGGGTTGTTGTCGGACGAATCAGCGACCATGTTGGCGCCGTTTTTCTGGCTCCTCCGCGCGCCGCCATCCTGGTGACGATTCTGGGGGGTCCATCCATCGGGTTTCTTATAGCACAAAAACCAGGGGTGCCCTTCCTTCTCACAATACCAGCAACTCCCTTTCATTTTGCCACCAGCACCCGACTTGCCCCCACGTCCAGATTTTGCACCGCGACCCCAACCGGTACCTCCTTGTTGGTCGTTGGAGTCGTCGTCTTTCTTTGCACCGCGTCCAGCACCACCGAAGCCACGTCCTTTGCCACGTCGGCTCCCTTGCATCCCGTAGCCGCTGCTGCCGTCGTCTCCACCCCTCAGTTGGCGGCGACGGAAGTCCTCCTCCAGAATCTTCGTCCGCACCCACTCGAGCGTCCACAAGCTCTGGTTCTGCGGCAGGCTCAATCCGCTCGTAAATTGAAGCCACGATTCCGGCAGCAGCGAGAGCATCTTCAAGCACTTTGTTTGCTCCGGGTAGGTGATTCCTGCGGTCGCCAACTTCGCGTAGAGGTCGCGCAATTTGTCCAGGACAGGTTGCACCGGCTCTCCCTCGCTCAGGCGCAACGCGGACAGCTCCCTCTCCAGCATCAATGTTGCAACAACGGAGGTCGGGGCGTGCAGCTCCTTCAACACCGTCCACGCCTTCGGACCGCACTCAACCTCCGGCAGCAGGTGCATGACGTGGTGACGCTGGTTCAGCTCCAAACTCTGCGACATCAAGTAGTAGCCAGCCGAGGCGCGCTCGTCCCAATCTTCCTGAAGGGCGGGGTCACTCGGTCTAGGCTCCTCCCCAATCATTAGTTTCAGCAATCCGATTTGACGGAAATAAAGTTGCATTTTCCAGGCCCAATCATCATAGCCCTCACCATTGAACTTCTCGACGGTGAAGTTTTTCAGCACCTCCTTGATCAGCGAGCCCTGGCTTGTTCGCGCTCCCCTTGGCGCAGAAACACCAGAATCATGGCTGCCGCTACGATCTTGGGCTGAAGATTCACCAGCTACCGCCGAGGTGTTGCCCGCCATAGCTACCTATATCGAGGATCACTATAACGCAGCTCTGATACCAGCTTGTAGGTGTAAGGGCCTAATAAACTCAAGCTATTAAGACTTTATCACACTTAAAACCTCTCCTCGGGGTCACCTCCAAGGGTCCTTGGGTGCCTGGTACAAGACCAGCCCCTATCCTCGGGTCCGAGTTTGTAGAGAGAGGGATCAAGAGGGACTTAGTCAAAACAGCAAGAGTACCTTGAACGTCGCGCAGCGTATCGTGCAGACCGTCGACCGGATTAAGCTGAGAATTTCCTATATCGAAGCTCACTCTAAGAGCTTTAAAATAAGCCAAGTTGCCTCGCGAAAAGTTCTGCCATTACGAAGTTATGGCTCGGACAGCGTTAGCCTAGCGTTGGAGTGCTAGCGTACTAGCGTTGACTCGGGTAGCATTTCGCCGTCGCACCGCGTAGAAAAGAAATTCCAGCAAGGAAGGAATTCGCTTGAATCAATTTTACTATATCCAGGTACAAACAGAGAAGGAATAAATAGCTCTAGCTAGCAAGGACCTTGGGAATCAACCTGGGAACAACCAGGGATGATCCCAAATAATTCCAAGCAACAGAACCAACCTGGCTGGACAAAATAGCAGGTGATAGGTTGGTGAACAACCTCTGGTTCTGTTTTTCCAACCTGGGAAAACAACAACCAGGTTCAGGTCCTAAAAACAGAACCTGTTTTGTCTTTGCCCAACCAGCCAAATGCTGGTTCCGCTGGTTTCCCCTGGCCCTGTAGCATGCAGATACAGACAAACAACATCAAACCTTCACCTAAATTGTACTCCTATAGTGCCTGCCCTGCTACATTATAGTCAACCAAACAAAACAGTACAATTTCGAGTTGGATAGAACTGAATTTGCGCAATCAAGTAAGTTGAACCGCAAAGCTTCCATCTTGGGTTCCTTTGCGAGCTCGTCCTTTCTGCTTGTACTGTTCATAGCGCGTACAATGTTATGCCGAAGCGCACATTTTGCGAGTACCTGCAAATGCTTCAAGCGAAAATTGCGAAAGCAAACAAACACACAAACATACCATTCACACGCAAATGCATTCGCACACGCATATTCGTACAAACAGACGGCAGGATGTCGTGCAATGTGAATTTGCACCCAACACTTCGCGACCCCGTCGCCGCCCCTAGCGGCCCCGTCGCAGCCCTTTGAGGCCCCTCTCGGCCCCTTTGCGGCCCCGTCGCCGCCCCTAGCGACCCCGTCGCCGCCCCTTTCGGCCCCGTTGCCGCTCCTACCGGCCCCGTCGCCGCCCCTATCGGCCCCGTTGCCGCCCCTAGCGGCCCCGTTGCCGCCCTTCACGGCCCCCCCCTTCAGTTGCCAAGCGGCCGAACCACCGAGCCGCCGAGCCGCCCAGCCGTGGAGCCGCCCAGCAGCCGAGCCGCCCAGCAGCCGAGCCGCCCAGCAGCCAAGCCGCCCAACAGCCGAGCCGCCCAGCAGCCGAGCCGCCCAGCAGCCGAGCCGCCCAACAGCCGGGCCGCCCGGCAGTCGAGCCGCCTAGCAGCCGAGCCGCCCAGCTGCCGAGCCGCCGAGCTGCCGTCGAGCCGCTACTGTTCCTACCGGCGTGCACCGGCCCTTCCCACCCGGACTAGTGAGAGCACTCCCTGTTAGACCACTGCTGTCATGGCTACCCCCAGTGTCCTTACCTTTGATGCTGAGGGTTGTGCTGTTGACTTGGAGGTCTGGGTCGATGACCTCCAGCTCTTTCTACAGTGCCATAGGGCAGACGGACTCTCCCTGTTTGATCTCACCTCTAGTGCCTCTCCTGCCCCGCCTGCTACTGCTGACACCACTGTTCGCTCACAGTGGGCCACACGCGATGCTGCTGCACGTCTTGCTGTGCGTCGCCACTTACCGACCGCTGAGCGTGCGCACTTTAGTCAGTACAAGAGTGCTAAGACCTTGTACGACGATGTAGTTGCACACTACTCTTCCCCTGCCACTGCTGCTCTTAGCCGCCTCATGCTGCCGTACCTGTTCCCTGACCTTGCTGCCTTTCCCACAGTCGCTGACCTCAATACGTACCTTCGCACTAGTGACACTCCCTACCGCGCTGCACTTCCTGCTGAGTTCTGTGCCAAGAACCCTCCCCCCATGTACATCACCCTCTACTACATAGTCACCCGACTCCCTGACTCCCTTTGCTTAGTCACGGACCACTTCCTCTCAGTTTGCCCCACCACACTCACCGTTGACCTCCTCAAGGAGCGCCTCCTAGCAGCAGAGAAGAGCATATTTGCTGTAGGAGCCTCTCGCGGTAACCCTCGTACCCCCGTCTTTGAGGGGAATTCCCCCTCCCCTCTCTTGCCCTCTGTTGCTTCTGCTGCTGCGGCCGACCTCGTTGGTTTCAAGTCGGTCGGCGCTGCGACTGCCCCTAGCGGGAGACGCCGCACAGGCAAGGGCAAGGGGGCCAAGGGCGTTGGAGGGGCTGGCGGGGGCGGTGGAGGTGGCGGTGGAGGCAGTGGAGGGGGTGGGGGTGGTGGTGGGAGTGGTGGCGGGGGTGGAGGTGTCGGTGGCAGCAGTGGAGGCGGAGGAGGCGGCGGCGGTGGCGGTGGGAGCGGAGGCGGCGGAGGCGGCGGCGGCAGCGGCGGCGGTGGAATTGGTCGCGGCTCTGCACAAAGGAGTGGCTCCGGTGGTGGTCAGCGCCAGCAGAAGCAGCGCACTCGTGAGACCCTGTCCCCCCAGCAGCTTCGTGAGTGGTACGCTGCGCGTCAGCGAGGTGGGGGTACTGGTCCCTGTACGTACGTCCTCCGTACCGGAAACCGCGCTGGTGAGCAGTGCGGGGGCTCGCACTCCACCCAGCGCTGCTTCGGCCGCCTGACGGACGCTTGGCGTCACCAGTTCCCTGACGCCACTGAGATCCCTCGCTGGGGAGAGCTGTCTAGGGCGGGTGTTGCTATCTTTGATCTTGACTATGATGCTATTCTTGCTGCCATGTATGCTGTGTCTGCTAGTGATGAGGGTGACTGTTACCTGTGTGTTCTGCTTGACCCGGGCATTCAGGCTGCTGCTCTAGGTGCTGGTGAGGCTGCTGCTCTAGGTGCTAGTGCGTCTGCTGCCCCAGGTGCTGGTGAGTCTGCTCTCTCAGGTACCACGTCAGCTCAGGCCTTACACACCTTCACCCTTGACTCGGGTGCTTCCCGCTCCTTCTTTCGAGACCACACCACGCTTACGCTGCTTAGTCGGCTGGTTGCGGTCTCCCTGGGAGACCCCTCTGGGGGTCCTGTCCTTGCTCGCTTCTCCACTGTCTTGCCGAGTCCGGCAGCCCCCTCTGGCACCCTGTCAGGTCTCTACCTCCCCTCGTTCTCTACGAACTTGGTGAGTGGTGCTGACCTACAAGATGGGGGGGTTGACGAGTTCACTCCTGCGAGTCAGCGGGTGACCCACTGCACGTGTGCTCGGACGGGCCGACACTTCGCAACATTTACTCGTCGGCCGGGGTCGAGCCTGTACACACTGACTACTGAGTCTTCTCCGGTTGCTGAGTCTGGTCAGGTAGCTGCGTCGAGTTAGGTGTTTACTGCAGAGTCCAAGTCTGGTCCTGAGTCTGCTCCCTGCTCGTGTCGTCTCTTGTCCCACCAGACTCTCCTTTGGCACCACCGCCTTGATCACCCCTCCCTGCCTCGTCTCCGAGGCATGGCCTCCCGTGTCCTTGTCTCTGGTCTCCCCTGGTCCCTCCCTCCCCTCCCTCCGGGGCCCGCCCCTTCCTGCGTTCCCTGCGTCGAGGGGCGGCAGCGCGCCGCCCCTCACTCCTCCGAGTTTCTCCGACAGAGGCTCCCCTGCAGACTCTTCACTTGGACGTGTGGGGCCTTGCCCGCGTCCGTGGCCAGGGGCACGAGCGTTACATCCTGTTGGTGGTTGACGACTACTCGCGTTACACCACGGTGTTCCCCTTGCGCAGCAAGGGTGACGTTAATGAGGTGTTGATCGACTGGATCCGCGCAGCTCGTCTCCAGCTCAGAGAGAGTTTCGGCTCGGACTTTCCTGTTCTGCGTCTGCACTCTGACAGAGGCGGGGAGTTTTCCTCAGCACGTCTGGGAGCCTTCTGTCGTGCACAGGGCATTCGCGAGACCTTCACGCTTCCGGCCTCTCCACAGCAAAATGGGATTGCTGAGCGCCGCATTGGCATGGTCAAGGACGTCGCTCGTACGTCCATGATCCATGCGGCTGCTCCCCATTTTCTGTGGCCGTTTGCGGTTCAGTACGCAGCGCATCAGCTCAACCTTCAACCCCGGGTCTCCTTGCCATAGACCTCCCCCACCTTGCGGTGGACGGGGAAGGTTGGCGATGCATCTGCGTTTCGGGTCTGGGGATCTCGGGCGTTTGTCCGAGACTTGTCTGCGGACAAGCTGTCCCCCCGTGCTGTTCCCTGCGTCTTCCTTGGCTTCCCCCCTGACGCGCCTGGTTGGCAGTTTTACCACCCCACCTCGCGCCGTGTTCTGTCCTCCAAGGACATCACCTTTGACGAGTCGGTGCCTTACTACCGACTCTTCCCCTACCGCACTGCGCCCCTCCCCCCGCCGCCGCTCTTCCTTGCGCCAGGTCCTCTCCCGGTAGACCCTCTCCCCCCTCAGGGTCCTGCCCCGTCAAGTGTGTCCTAGGTAGACACAGTCGAGCCTGTCGAGGTAGCTGTTGACTCTTGTGCTGCTAGGGGTGCTGAGCCTGCGGGTGCCAGGTGTGGGGGTGCTGAGCCTGCTGGTGCGGAGCCTGGGAGTGCTGAGTCTAGGGGTGCTGAGCCTGCGGGTGCCGGGTCTAGGGGTGCTGAGCCTGGGGGTGCTGAGCCTGGGGGTGCGGAGCCTGGAGGTCTGGAGCCTGGGGGTGCTGGGTCTGCTTCGTCGAGGCGGGAGCTACTCTCTCCGCAGGAGCTGCGCGAGTGGTTTGCCCACCGCTGGAGCCGTGCTGCTCGAGCTGGAGGTACTACTGTTGCTGCTGGTCCCGGAGGTGCTCGTACTGGCGGAAGTGGAGCTGCT